GGCTGATCGCGATGCACCAGTCGAAGCTTTCCACAACTAAGGGTGGCCAGCATTTCCTCGTGGATGTTGGCCTGCTGGACCCTTTGCAGGTTGAACCGAAACTGTGAGGTTGAGCTTTGCCCGTTGCGGCGTGATTTTGTGAGGTCCAAGTATCCCGTTGCGGTGGAGGAATTTGCCGACAATCCACAATCCAGGTGCCTGTAGATTCGGCACTCTTGTACAGAGGGGTTGGATGACGGCAGGCATGTCACGTGCCGGCCGGCAGTACTGAGGGGGCACGTGATGTAGATTGCTTAAACAACATGCTGGCACAGCTCTTGTACAGAGGTGCCGCTCGCACTTTGCAGCAGGCGCTGCAAAACAGACACTCAAAAGGGGCTTCTTGGCAACCATCCTATTGCAGCTTAGGATTTTGTTTGGTGAGTCTCACCTCATGTTTCCCATGGCCAGTTACATGCAAAGTGTGTTTGTTTCCAGGCTGCCGGAAGAGAAGGCCCCACACGCCTTCACTGCGCGGATGTGTGCAGCCAGCCGCCATTTGGAGAGCCAGCGGCGAGACTCCCTGCCCCTTGGGTTTGTTTTGTAGTGGGCACTTGGAATGTTGTTTTCTTTTAAAGGGACCTGACAAAGGCGGACAACGACAGCCCGGCTCGGCGAGCCTGGGCTCTGGGATGTTGCACGGGGTACAGCTACTTGTTTGTTTGTCAACTTGCAATTTTTGTTTCCGACTGCGATCTCCTCTCAGAGTGTCAGCCGCACAGGGCATTGAGAGTCTCCTTTAACTTTATGTCACAGCGGGCGAGCTGGCTAGCGCAGCGTACACATGCTTGGACTTGCAGTCTACGGTTCCCACACGTGTTTAGCAGGTTTTCTTCCACTGCAGGCGGGGTCCCTTCATTTTCCAAGTTTCAAGGCTCTTTTCCATGTGCGAAAATCGCTTAGGTTTGTGGACCTCCTGGCGTCCAAGTTGGCAGGGCCCAAGGGACTGGCCAACCCCATGGGCGACTGGATCATGGTGCCGCGCACAAGGATGGGCGACGACCTGGCGCCGTGGCTGAAAGAGGCATGGGCCCTATGCCGGGGCTAGAAATGTGTTTGCCTTTGGGATTCATGTGCTTGTGCCTTGCTGTTTTTGATGTTTTGATGTTTTGATCCTTATTTGGGGACTACCAGGGTTGCTTGTTTGATTGAGACATGCGGAGTACCTTTGAACAGCCATGCGCAAATCCAGGATGGAACTTAGAAGGCAGTGGCAGTTTCTGATGGCCATGTCACCCTCTCCAACATTCTTGCTAAAAGGTTTCACTAAACATCTCTATACCTATGTCCATGGGTTCGGATGCGTTTGGCGCCTTTGGGGTGGTAGGTGGTGCAGCACTACAGCAAGCGCCGGCCCTGCCGCCAGCTGGTTCTGCTTGGCGCGGGCATGGATGCCCGCGCCTACCGCCTGCGGCTGCCGGAGCTGAAGGTCTTTGAGGCCCGCGAGCGACTGGGTGCTCCGGCACGAGTCAATGACCTCATACAGACAGCGCATATCTAGCAAGTGACCCCAAGTGACCCCAAGAGTTGCAAAGTCTGACAAACCCTTGCAGGAACCCCTTTTTTGGCTTGCACTGCGCATCTCTCTCTCTCTCTATATATGTATATATATATATATATATCTATTTGTCTTTGTCTCGAAGTCATGCACCATTCTTGCACCCGGATACGGTCCTGCAAGTTGCCACCATTATGAATGAAAGTGCTTCCAGGTGTGATGTTGCTGTCAAGGACCAACGGAACCCTTTGCCAGCCTCCACCTGGAACAAGCAGCCTGAGACTCCCATGCAAGCCGAGGTGGATTTGCCCATTCTCTTCCAGGAGTGTCGGTGATATGAGAATTAAAGGCCTTGTGAGAGGTGGGGCGCATTCGATTGAGACCTCGCCTTCAGAGTTGTAATTGTTCTGGTTTGTTGATGTCACATCACCGGCTTCTTTAAGACAACGTGCGGTCTCGCCTGGGTGCAAGCGTGTATTTTTCATGTTGGGAGTGCTTGAGCTCATTTGGTGCAATATTCTGAGCCCCCTACCGTGCTTGCAGCATGCCCGACGCTTGCAAACGGCAGGAGAAGGAGCCATTGTTGAAAGGTGAGAGCATCACAGTGCCTTGGCGACTCATCTGGGCCCAAGAAGCAAGCCGGCACACTGGTCACAGCACGAGATCTTGGCCTTCGGGGCTGCAGATTGGGGTCGGTGCTGCGTGTTGGCGGAAGGGCCCAAGCAGTTTATGCGCTGAAAAGCCGAAGTGTTGCTACAAGAACCCCTGGATGACTAAATAGTTGGCCAGCAGATTGCTGTTGCGTTAGGGCTAAACAGCGCCATGTTTCACGTTTTGGTCAAATGGGCTTCCCTGCTCGGAGTGCTTACGGCAAGCTGGGAGACGTGCAGGTTGTGCCAGAATGAGTTTTAGGATCCTTCGACATTTTTGTTCCACCATTTGGTGTGCTCGTGAAGCCTACATGCGTCAAGGATTGGTCGCCCCCCCCCCCCCCCCGTTAAATAATGTTCAAGTATTTTGCGCGTGAATGGCCGAGGTGCGGTCGCGCACAGTGGTTCCAAACGATTTCTCCTCGGGGGAGGACTGGAGCGTGAAGCTTCTTCAGAGCGGGCCCGAGACCTTCGACCCCTCCACCCCCACGCTTTGGCTGTCCCTTGGCTCGTGGCAGGAAGCCTGCTGCGCTCACTGGGCTTTGCTGTTTTGGCTGCTTTCTTAAGCGCCCTGTGAGTATCGTCAACTGGCCTCAATGTCATTTGAGCTGAGGGGCACGACCGCCCCAGCCTCACGCTTGCTTTGGCACGCAAACCTGGCGGATGTTGGACGAAAAGGATCGAAAAGGCAACGGGATGTTTTGCCCGCACTTTGCGAGTCAAGTGGGATATCAACCCTTCAAGTCGGCCTTGATGTTCATCATGCAACAACCTGAGGCACGCGTGGCGTGCCCACAATTGTCCCTTGGGACAGAATGCGATTCCACTCGCCACAGTTGAGGCTGGAGGGCCTTATGATGTACCTCAATGACCGCGAGGCTGCCCAGACTCTGCGCAACCTGGGCGCTTTGTCAGCGCCAGGCTCTGCCCTGTTCTTTGATGCCATCTCGGCGCCTTGGGCTCAATCAGGCGTCCCATCTTTTCAAGATATTTGAGAACGGCCCTTTTATTCACTTCCATGATTGTCGGATGTCAGCAGCCGAATGCTCAAGAATCGGCATCCACCGTGGATGCCTCAGGTGCCATATGTGGTCATCGGCAGCATTTTGAAGGTCATGCATGAGAGACATTCGAAGCGGTTAGGAAACTGCGATCAACCTGCTCCACCTGCGGGCACGAGCGTACGCGATGATGTAATGTATTAATCATGAGTTCTCAAGGGATTTGAGCAATTGCACATTCAGTTGATTTTGAGTTCACAAATGTGATGGGCATCCAAGCCCCTCGACAAAACCGCTTAGGGGCGCGGCTTTGTTGTAGTGCCCCAACCCCCGCTTTCCTACCAAGGCCAGCTACGTGCGTCAGCGCATCGTCGTGGGAGGAGCGCCTTTCCTGGGCGGCTCGGACCACTACGGGGATTGGCTGGAGGAGGTTGGCTTCAGCAGAAGCAAGGCACGAGTGCCGAAGCCTCGAATGTGATCTGATCAGATGTATCCCTGTTGTTTGCCTTGTAGGGTTCTTTTCCGAGGCATCCATGTGCTACAGGTTGTGCTTTGCAAGTTGGAACACGCCATGCCTGGCCAAGGGTAAACATGCTGTTTGTTGTGGCACCTTCACCAAACAGGCGAAGGCAATTGCTTGCGTGCCTCCATGGTATGCGCTGCCAAGATGTAGCTCAAACGAGTGCCATTGTTCCAATGGGCATCATCATGTCCCATGATTGAATCACTTCAGAATTGTGCGCGTGCCCATGCAAGTACCCCTTCTGTTTGTAGGAAAGGAGAGGGTCCGTCTCCACCCGGTGAAGTCCACTGGTTCATAACAAGGAGGCTTTTCATCACAGGTTGCACTCCAGCTGTGGGACATGTGAATGGCCGGCAGTTCGCCCTTAAGTCAGTAGTTTGACACAGCATTTTTTGGGAGCTGCCGCAATTGTGGCACCATCCACGGACTGCACGTTGAGAGGCATGGCCCCCGGTTTCGGTCCTGCAACGGCAGGTCTGGGACTTCAGCAGCCTTTGGGTGGACCGCAGAAATCGGCGCGTGAGCAAAGACTGGGCCAGGACGGGCGGCCAACACACGGTGAGCTTAGCCCGGGATTCTTGGAGAGCACATGCAGGGGCAAAGTTGGCCGTGCTTTCAATAGTTCTCATTACCCCCCGTTCTGGCGCCCGCCTTGAACAAAGAAGCAGATTCCCACACATGCGTGTGGCCAAGATATGCCTTGGAGGACTGTGGGACCTGCAGATCTCCTTGGCCAGAACATGGTGCTTTTCGTGGAGGGCGAGAAGCCCTGAGTGCAATGCATCGCCCACCCCATAGCAGTTGCCCTCGCCAGGAGCCATGCGCACCGGTTCCTGTGTTGGAAAGTTTATCAGCTGCTATGCTATGCCCAAGTAAGGTTGAGGCCAGCATCATTGTGAAGCCATGTGGGTATGGGTCAAAATTAAACCACCAGGGGACCGCAGGTTTTGGTCCATGTGTCCATTTACCAGGATTCCATGTTGGGTACATATTTTGGACCCACAGCCATGTGAAGCCTATGATGGCTCCCCGCAGGGACAAGATTCAAAGCCTCACGGCTTTGACTGGCCGATACTTCGACATGTTTGATAAGTGGCCGGAATACCTGCATGCCTGTTCCTGGTGTGAATGACTGGGCAAATCAGTCTCAAAGAAGAGTTTCTCAGTGCAGGGGCACGTGCCGTGTCAAGGAGAAAAACAGAAATCGTGTCTATTATTTTGCATGCTCAGGCGATGGCATGCAGGCTTGCTTGGAAAGTAGCAGCTACCAGCAACATTTGTCGACGCAGGCAGTGCCCGCGGTTGCTGCCGTACTGCATGCAAAAGCTGTTGAATGCAGCTGTTCACTACTTCCATCGCTTTCAACTTTTTTGGGAGCCCCAACCTCCGCAGCATTCGTTGATGATACCAACTTGCATGCGAAGGATGGTAGTCAAGGGTGCGTACACCCAGCTATTTTGGCATACTTTGCCTTTTTGATGATATAACATTGTGGACCTTTGTTGTGGGCTCATGTTCATACCCTTGACCCGGCTCCTTTGGTATGACTTGCGGCTCGTGTTAGATCTGCAGTCTGCCTCTTCAGCCAAAGGCACGTCCCATATGGCTCACTTTTCGGGATGCCCAAGGTGCCCCACAAGACATGGAGGCAGCCATCTTGCCGCCTGCCACTGTCCGGCTGAACATGCCTGCGATCGCCGCTTCCATTGCCAAGCATTTCACGTGTAAGAGCTGCACTTCCAAGCATGTATGTGTGGCTTGGCATCCATGCTGGCAGCTCCTTGGTCCAAGAGAACGCTTACGGCAGGATTACAGCACGCCTTGAACCTGGCTCATTGAGGATGAGGCGACCCCTCCATGGTGGACATTTGCTGCTGCACCCTTTTCCACCAGCACCATCCTGTTAGGTAGCGGTTTGCCCAGACTGCCGGGAGAGTGTGATCCTGGCAGAGCCTGGCAGTTTGTCATCTTGAGGTAGCTTGCCCACTCATTCGAAAAGTGTGATTCGCATCCAAAAGACGAAGTCCCAACTTCCTGTGCAAGCCACGCGGGGCTGGGCAATGGGGGGCACAGATTAGCGGAAGCCATGGCGGAGGCGCGGTGAAGTCCAAGATTTTGGGTCCAGCTGGCTTCCCTCGTGGCTCAGGTGAACGGAATCAAGCGAACGAACTGTGGTAGATGAAGGTGAGGGAGAGCATGGCAAGAGTAAAACCATCAACCGTGGGCCGCTTGTGTTCTAACACCTTCGCTCCACAATGAACCGCTGGCCTGCCTTTTGGCAGGCGCAACAATTCCGGCCACGGGAGTTCCCGCAGGCTGGGAAGCAAGCGTTCGCCGCTTGCAACCGGCTTGGCCGTTGCTTGCAAGTTCAATGTCTTGGGGAATGTGCGAAGCACACTGCGTTTCTTGAAAATGCAACATGGTTCGACATGTAGCCTCTAAGTATCTTGACTCTTCGGAGTGACGGGAGTTGTTTTTCGTCATTTCCACATCAGAAGGTGGCTGGCCTTGAGCCAGGCCTTCGGCCAGCTATATAGTTGTTGCAGTGCGGCAATCTGTGATTCATGAGCTCACAGTCATGTTTGATCTGTTCGCGTGCCGGATAGATTGCAATGCACTGCAAGCCATGGGTTGCAAAGCAATGCTTCGTGCCACGAACGACATTTAAGTTGTTGCTCAGAGGCGCCCAAGAGCCGAGAAGAGCGACTGCGAGACTTCTACGCAGAGCGCACTTCTGCCTTGGCGACTCGGCAGGTGTTGTGAGTGCCATCATGAAAGAATGCGTCTCCTTCCTGCTTTCCATCGGCTGAGGAGCGAAGTTCCCCGCTGCAACTCCAAAAGAAGCCAGACTCGGAAGCAAATGAGGCGGACTGCTGTGTCAGTCAAGCCAGGACAATTCACATCACAGACAACATGCAAGCATGTTGCTTCTGGCACAGGTTTTGTTTTGCAATAGGTTCAATCTGCGCCTGGGGCAAACTACACCTGCAACGGCCAGGAAGCAGCACAGCTGCGCAAAGGTGCGAATGATCTCTACGAGCGCCAGGATTACGAGGGCGCAGTGGAGCAGTACACGGCTGCTATCAAGAAGGCAGCTCAGATCGCCGGACTGTGAACTGGATGCTTTGAAGAGAAGTCTTTCTTAGCCTCTGTTCCAGTCCAAAACGGAGGCGGCCGCTCGTCGTCAAAAAATAGTTATTGTCAAAAAAAGGTTGTTACAACACCTATTTTTAAATAGGCTTTGGAAGCATGTGGCATGTGTTTTTGGTTTCGGCTTTCCAGACTACCGCCTCTACCGTCGTGCAATCCAACATGACAAAGGGGGGCAGAACCCGGCAGTTCGAAGATAATGTAAATTGTGTTTCCGAATGCGACTTTGTTCCTTTTGTGCCCACGGTCAGAACAGAGCCATTTACTCTGTCTGCAGGCGCCCTCATCAGTTCTACACTCCAACCGCGCTGCTGCCTACATGATGAGCCTTGGCAAAGGTTTCAAGAGGAGCCCCATCAGTCAGTTACCCTTTGTAGCTCTTGGTGAATGACTTCGCACTCTGTTTTTCTCAAGGGGAGTGCGCCACGAAAATCAGCACTGGAGACCCCCATCCCCTGGCCACCCAATGTTCCATCACACATCCACGCATTTCTCGGACGGATGTATGTGGCTGAGGCTGGGCTGGTGGCAGCAAGCACTGCGCGACACCAAGGCAGCCCTTCGAAAGGACTCGGAGAACCTCAAGGAGCGCAGAGAGGGTCGGCCAGTGAGTCGTTTCTGGTTTGTTTCAAGGGTGGTACCCCAGTTCAGGTTTCCCGAGGAAGATCCCAACCAACCCGCATGCGGCGTGGCTTTGCCATTCCCAGTATTTCTGGCGGTATTCTTCAGGCCTCTTTTTGCAGAGAGAGGTCAGCGCTGTGAGCGCTGAGTTGTTCCGTTAAAACACTGGTGTTTGACTGTATTTTAGCCACGCGTGTAGAAGTCTGTCAATTGCATGTGCAAACACTGGAATGTCAATCATTTCCCCTCTGTCAATCTTTAGTCTGGAGTCTGGACCAAAGCCTTTGTTTGACACCCGGTAACCAAATGCCCATGCGAGCTGAAGACATGAAGTGTGAAGAGTTGATGGAGGTTCATGGGTTGTCGCGCAGGTCATCCAAGAAACTCAATAATGAAAACACGCCAGCAACTATTTCTTGGATGAAGCATCCAAGAAACTGTCAGAAAACGCAACAGTCCCAAAAAGCCTCGAGAAACCACACAATTCACAAGACCATGGGCGGGATGGACATTTCAATAACACAACAAATGCAACGTTCCAAGAAAAAGCAACTCGAGAAGTCTGGGAATTCCGACAATTCCTAAAAACCTCGAGAATTCTCAAACTTCCCACACTCTCCAACATTCCCAAAATCTCAGCAACCATGGTGTGGGCTAGAATTCCCACACCAAGAGGCAAATGCCAAAAAGTTCCCAAAAACCTGGGGTTTGCGGATGTTTGGTGGGGGGGCCAGGGACCGCTCCATCTGAGCGCAGGCGTTGGAGCGGCAGGGCCGGGTGCAGCTGGCGCTGGACCAGCTGGAGCCCGCTCTGGCCACGGCCATGGACCTGGACCGGAGGGAAAGTTTCCAAGAGTGGGTACTCGGTGCTGTTTGGGATCCACCTATATCTCTACTTCCCCAGAATTAGCTCCCCTTTCGTTTTTTGTTTGGCTTTTTTGGGGTCCCTTAATTTAAAATATCAAGGGAATGCCAACTGGATATAGGCTATATCCAGTTGGCAGAAGTTGGTGAGGTGCCCAACCCCAGAAAATATAGAGGGATCCTGTTGGTCGAAGATGGTTTCTTGCACGACTGCATGCGCAGGGTGAAGCTGGATTGCCTGAGGCTGGCGTTGGCAAGTGCATTCCACTTTTAGATTTGCCAGGGAGATGCCGGAAGCCTTTGGAATGTTTGTTTGGCCACTTTGCATGTATTATCACGGCGCCAGGGTTTGCAACTTAGGACGGGGACAGAACCCAACTGTGGCAGCCAAAACGGAATAGGTCCTAATTTCTCTCAAATCCTTCATGAGGAGATACACCGGGTTGTCCTCACTAAACTGATGTGCCACCCATTTATTCTCACATGAGGAGGGTAATCCTTGAGTGTTGCAAGGAGCAGCGGGGACCCAAAGAGGTCTTCAACGGTATGGAGCGGCCGGCGCTTAGCAGCTTGTCGGCGGAGATGAGGTGAATGACGATTCCGAGTGGCCCCCCCCCCATCGGATGGTTTCTGCGCCATGGTTCACGTTTCGTTTGACAACTCCTGGACCATCAAGGCTGGGAAGATGCCCTGCCGCTTCTTGGGGTTGATTTTCAGAAGCATGTTTGACTGATGCAAACGCGACGGTTGGGGCGGTGCAGGGGGCGGTGCAGAGTGTGACGCGTTGTGTCACATTGCTTTGCGTGGCGCAGGGATTCAATCATGTCAAGGGACCAAGCTGCAAGGCATTCGACGTTTGCGCTGGCTGGCAGAGGCAGCCCGAGAACCTTCCTCGCGTTTCGCCCGCAGAGCGCAAGGCTGCTATCGTTGGTTTTCTTCTTCTTCTGGGAATAGGTAGCATGCTGAGAGCAGAAGGGGCTTGGCTCGTTTCCATGAAAAAGCCACCATTTTGCCGAATGCCGCGGATAAACTTGACCACTGAAAGGTTTTGAACTGACAGACCTTGCGGGGACACCCGTGCAAATCTCCGGACGACCGGGGAGTCGCTTGAGTCTTGAGGCTGGAGCAGGTCCGGGAGCTGCTTGAGCACTTCAGCTCCAAAGCCGAGCTGGCGCGGCCCTTGACCCTCCCTGTCCAGTGGGCAGCGATGGGCAGCGTCAAGACACAAGCGATGATCCACCGGGGCTTACAGCTGGGGCTTATGAAGTTCTAGGGCTCACGTGGTAGGATTTGCCGGAAACCTTCGGAGTTCGGTCTTGCATCACGAGGTTTCTCCTTTGGGCATGCGACTGCGGAAGAAGCTGGTGGAAGCTGCTTTGGATGCAAGACATTTAAGGTGCGCCTTAGCGCTTGAGGCGCAACACGGCGCATAAACTTGTTATGAGCGTGTACAGTCAGCTGCCTTTGGCATCCCCCCTTGATAGTGGTAACTCCCAAATTTCCAGGTCATGCTGTTGAGGAAGGTGGCAATTGTTATGCCTTCAAAGGTAGAGTCCTTGTGAGTTTTCTAGCAAACGCCGCAAAAGTCGTTGATTCTGGTGCATCCCAAAGTCTGGTTGACTGTGTCGTTTGGTTGTTTGGTTGCTGCAGGAAATTTAAAACAGGTGGCTCTGCGTTTTGCCGGGCAAATCTGGGAGACCACGACATGCAACCGAAGGCCAAGGCTCAGATGGGCTGAAGTGGGCGTGAGGTTCTGGTGGAGCGCTCCGATACCATCGACCACCAGCGCCGCATTCGACCCGCCCTGGCCTACAACCAGCGGGCCGTGGAGCGCGCCGGGGGCATACAGGATGCCCGGCGCCCAGCCAGCGCCCGTTTTTTTTTTTTTTTGGTTGGGGGGGGGCGATGGGATGTTTATGGCTTAGGGCTGGGAAACGCAGCCCTTGAAATGGAATCGGGTTATATCATGTTGTTGCCTGGGGGTCTGGCTTCACATCATCCAGGGAGCCTATTTACTTGGGCTTTGCCTGCGGGCTTGTTAGCTGAGGATGAAATTGAGGAGCTCACGCCTTTCGCAGAAGAGGCGCTCAGGCCAGGGTTTCGTCCTGGACAAAAAGTGCCGCTTTGCCATTTCTCTCATCAGGGGTTCTACCTCAAAGCCCTACGTTTGAGCTGCTGCCCGGCTTCGGAGGATTACTGGCGAGCTTCTGCAAGATTTTCCCGATGACGCCTCGCCGGCCTGGTTGGGTTCGACGCAACACATCCATGGTGAAGATGAGCGCTGGACATGCTGAATGTGCATCACAGTTAAGCATTGTATTCATACTAATCAAGTTTGATAATGATAACAATTTGAGAACATGATCATTGTCATGGTGATGATAATGATAACAGTGCGTCATTTTTCCGAGGGAAGGCGCAACACGTCAAATTCGGCCGCAATGCTCGGGCACAAATAGTTCACACACGCGCAAGTACACACAGGCAAACTGATGGGACACTTGCCATCAGCTAGCTTGAGGGACCACTCGACTGCAGCTGGACAATAGTTGGGGGCATAGAGGGAATCAGTTTGATCGCATGTTTGAAAATATGATCCCAACTTGGGCATCTTGCGTTGCCAACATAAAACTCGCCTATTGGATGTGGTCAACTCAGGTTTGGTGTTTGCGTCCAATTGTGCTTGTGCTTGTACTTGAGGTTTTGCATGTGCATGGGTGAGTGGGTGTGTGGGTGAGTGAGCGAGTCAGAGAGTCAGTAAGACTGTGAGACAGTGAGGGCGTGCATGCACATGCATGCCTGTGTGCCTGCGTGTGTTTGTGTGTGTGTGTGTGTGCGCCTATGTGTGTGTGTGTGTGTGTGTCGCGTTGTGCCGCGGCGTGTTATTGGTGCGATATGGTGTGGTGTCATGTGTTGTGCGTTGTGTCGTGTAAGGGTGCATTTGGGAGCGTGCTTGGATGTGGGTAGGTGTCGCTGTGGGTGGGTGCACCTGTGCTTGCGTTTGTTTGTGTGTGAGTGTGTGTGTGTGTTTGTGTTGTTGGTTGCTCGCTGATTAGATTGGTGGCTTGGGGATTTGAATGCCTGGTTCTTGTAGAGGGTAAATGAGTCAGATAGGAAACCACCTCCAAAACCTCCGATCCCCAAAACCAAACCACTAACTAGAGGGAAGCTAATTGTTGATTGTGTCTTTGCTGTGGTTGCACTTGTTTTTGCATGGGTTTGTGTGGTTGCTTGTGTTGGATTGTTGTTGTTGTTGTTGTTGTTGTTGTTGTTGTTGTTGTTGTTGTTGTTGTTGTTGTTGTTGTTGTTGTTGTTGTTGTTTGTTGTTGTTGTTGTTGTTGTTGTTGTTGTTGTTGTTGTTGTTGTTGTTGTTGTTGTTGTTGTTGTTGTTGTTGTTGTTGTTGTTGTTGTTGTTGTTGTTGTTGTTGTTGTTGTTGTTGTTGTTGTTGTTGTTGTTGTTGTTGTTGTTGTTGTTGTTGTTGTTGTTGTTGTTGTTGTTGTTGTTGTTGTTGTTGTAATGTTGTTGTTGTTGTTGTTGTTGTTGTTGTTGTTGTTGTTGTTGTTGTTGTTGTTGTTGTTGTTGTTGTTGTTGTTGTTGTTGTTGTTGTTGTTGTTGTTGTTGTTGTTGTTGTTGTTGTTGTTGTTGTTGTTGTTGTTGTTGTTGTTGTTGTTGTTGTGTGCTTGTTTGTTGATCAGTGGTTTGAGCGATTTGTTGGTTTGAGTTGGGCTGGATTGGTTTGCTCGTGGTCGGTCTGTTGTGTTGGGTGTTGGTTGTTTCTTTGCGTGTGCATGTGTGTGCGTTTACGAGGGCATGCATGTGAGATATGTGAGGAGGTCTATCACTGGGGGCTTGGAAGAAAGGATTCCCCAGACAGCTATGACAAAGCAGGCAGGGGCTCCCCAAGTCAAGTCAACTTGTGTCAAGCGAGAGTTGCACCGCGCCAGGCGGATGCCAGATATTGGCGGCTTAGCAGAAGAGTCACGTCGAAATGTGTCGTAGATTGCAGGCATTCATATCTTACCTACAAAGGCATTCATATTATTGACAGCGCAAGTAACACGCTCGGTTTGGATGGCTGAGCTTGATGGCAAATCGGCGGTCAATGAGAAGCACATGCTGTGTGTGTTCACCTTGCCTGGGGCTCGAGTCGATCCTTGCCTTCAGACTTGCATGCCCCTTGAAGCTTGTGGTTAGATTTGTGCAAGGTGGGATTGTCTCTGCAAGGCTGCGCGGTCTTCAGTATTAACTTCTCACATTCAGGATTCACAACTGGAGCCACTTGCAATCACTCGTTGCTTGTGCATCAAGCGAAGCCAGCAAGCTGTTGGGGAGAGATGTGTATTAATTTTCACACAGCCATTTTTATAGCTGCTCAAATAGTACTGGGATTGGGGGCTTCAGTAAAGTTATCATATTTGGGAGCAGGAGTGACCGTGTGATCATCATCCTTTCCCGCGCTTGATCGACAGATGCACTACATGGACGCGGCCGCCACATGTCCATGGGAGGTTTGCTCAATGTGTTGGGTTGGCCAATCTCATGACTTGATCAAACCATCCGGTATGGATATGTTCTTGCTTGGTGCTGACCTGGGGCAGTGGATAGTAGCTTCTGGGTTTCAAAAAAGAAGTGCGCAGCTGAAGGCGAGGCCGCGCTTTGCTGCGCCTGGGTCGTCAGGAGCCCCAGAAAGTGAGTCCAGTAGAAACAATGCTTTGTTCTGCCACCACGTCGCTGGCAGCCATGATGCTTGCAGAGCTCTTGGCTCCAGGCACGCAAAGCATGCGTTCAGGGCTGGATGCATCAAAAGTTGCGTGGCGGCAACTAGTCGCTGTCATTATATAAAAGCCATGGCACTTGTGAGGAGCTAAAACATTCAATCTAGCTTTGCTTTCTTGAGCAAATGGGTTGGTCCTACATGACGTGATTTGCACAAAGTTGACAGCGCAGTTGTTCCTGTTTTTTGGACCCGGTTGGGCCTCGCCGCCGACCTTCCAGAAATCGCACCGCTCGATAATGGGCGAGAAGTTCCCTTATTCAGCGCTCCAAGGTTTTGTTCTCTGGTTAGCTGAAGTGTGCCATGCTTCCTGTGGCGGCGTTGAGCCGGGAGCCTCCGTGCCCGGGACGTGCCGGACACCTGGGCCCCCGACTCGGACCGCGCCTGGGACGCCCAAGACACCCGAGCCTGCGCGCGAAGCCGCATGCGTGGCAGGTGGCGGCCATCGGGGCTGGGTGCGTGGTGAAGAGGAGGTGCCGGGAGCAGTTTCTGGAGGACCTGGACCAGCAGGATCCCGGCCGCTCTGCGCTGCGTGCAGAGTGGGCTGTCAAGGGCGAGGTGGTTTTCGAGGAGGCGTCGCAGGACAGCGGCCTGGTGCGCGTGACTTCCAGTGGGGCCTCCAACGGCGGATCCTGGCGCCGGCTGCGGTTCAACGAGTGCACTGAGCAGAGCGTGCTGCTGCTGGATGCAAATAACGCTCCACGCTACGAGGCGCTGGCCTTTGGATACTTGAAGAGCCTGGCAGCCTTGGGAGCCGCCACCCTGAGGGCGCTGGGGCAACAGTCGCCAAAAATATTGGTGCTGGGAGTCGGTTTGGGTGCGCTCCCGGGGTGGTACTCCCAGCATTTACACGCCACCGTGCACGCTGTGGACCTGGATGCTGCAGTGCTTCGCGCGTACCAAGAAGTGCTTCGCTCGGCACCCCCATCAGCTGGCGGAAGCTTAGAGGTGCACTGCTGCGACGGCGCGGAGTTCGTGGCTCGCAGTGCCCAAGAGGGGCAGCGCTATGATCTGGTGGTGCTGGATGTCTTTGATGGCCAAGGCCAAGTGCCTGAGCCCTTTCTCACGGACGACTTCGGTCGAGACGTGGGGAGCATCGCAGCGGCAGTCGTTGCAAATCTGACGTGCCCAGTGCCCATGTGGGAAGACGCCCATCGCTTCAACGCGCCTTCTGCGGGTCGGCTGGCGGATGCCTTGTGCAAGGGCTTCGGCACGCAGGCCTTCAGCGTGCGGGTGGCTGAGGGACAGAACCTCATTTTGGCGGCCACGGCCCACGGGGCGCCGCCGGAAGAGTTCTTGGCCCAGTCCGCGCGAGAGCTTGCGCTGGAGGGAGCCTTTGCATTTGATCCAGTGAGGAGAGTGACCTTTCGCCGCCAGGACTGGTAGTTGGACGACAAAATATTCACAACATGAAAAACAAATATATACATGTATATGTAAACGTTATGTTGACGATGCCCAGTACTTCGCGCGAAGTGAACATAGCAGCCGCTTGGGGCAAACAAAGATGAACGCCTGCCACGTTTGCTTGGATGATGTTTGCAAAGTTCCCATAGCCTGCTTAGGCAAAGACTGCATCTCTGTCACACGCAGCAAGTAGGGCCCAGGCATGGAATGATATGGAATGCATGTTTGCGTTTGACGATCAGAAAGTGCCTGGGCGTGACATGGTCCGCGCCTGCAGTGTCCACACCCGCTCACTGCCTCGCCTGACAAGGTCATGCGGACGCCGAGGGCCAGTTTGAAGAAGGCCCCGTGTCGAGCAGGGGGGAGACCTGAACAACTTCCCCATGGCCTAATGGTATGACTTGCATGGAGGGTGAAGGGTGGTGAACCATTGGGTGTAGCCCATGGCGGGCCAAAAGCCGCTACCGTACTGATTGCTTTTGTTTTTTCTCGACCAGTGCTGCTTGCTGGCATTCCAGGGGGAGAGAACGCTTTGAGGTGTTTGGATCCGATTTCGTTCTATTGGCGACGCCCCAGTAATACGTCGCTGAGGGCTTCCTTCCTGATAGCCATGCAGTTCAAGTGCATACAAACTATGAGCAAGTACCCTATTGGTTGTCATTGTGAGTGTGTCTCACAGGTGATGCACATGACGGACATAGCTCCCATCTTTCGTGAAGACAATCTAGATGAACAGAAGGGTTGGAGACAAGGTAAAGGCGCATTTCCTCTGAGAAGCTGCCTATGTGCCCTTATCGGTACCCTTGGTGGTTTCAGCCCTGCATCACTTTGCATCAGCGCATCCACAAGAAAGAAGTGACCCACCCTTTCGAGGGGTTGACCCACCCTTCCTCTTGGATCATGATTTGCTTCCAACACCTTAAGACCAATATGCCCAGCTTGAGGCCTGAGACAGGACAGCGGCAATGAGCTGGGAGCTGAGTGAGTGACTCCTTGACATCGGGCGTTTTCAGTGTATGCAGGAAGCGCTTATGGCACAGATCAACTTGAAGCATTTCCTGCAGGTAATTGTTCCCCAGTTCTTCTTTGCTTGTAGGGTTTTTGCTCTTGCCCGAAAGCATACTCTCCTACAATAGCGTTTTACCCTCCACGATTTCAACCCTGGAAAATTTCGGCATGCAGGAAAGTACATTGCAGAATACCGCCAAACGCAGATGGGATTTGCGAGCCTTCCCTTTGTGATGCTGAGGCCCATCAAGCAGCTACAGCAGACTGTCGATTCTTGGCGGCCCAGTTTCCGCTTCTGGTCCTTGCACCAAAGTTGAGAAAGAAGAAAGTTGAGGAAAGGCTTGAGCAGATGTTTGTGGTTCGCAGCTTTGCCCCTGTGTTTTCTGAGGACCCAGGCCGGGTCACACTTTGGACTTTGCACGCGCATGTTGTTATGGCAAGCGCACTCTTGGCTGCTTGCGCCGCTTCAAGCACGAGCGTCACCAGTCACCTGGGTCATGGGGAGCTGAGGACAAGCTGGAGGAGCTCAAACAGCGGGCCAATGCCAAGTACAAGGAGGGCCTGCTGGATGAGGCAAGAGCTCAGCTGGGCAACCAAACCTGCCAAACCGCTCAATCCAAGGGTCATCTATTGGGAAGAGCGACTGGTTGTTCCGGAATGCCCTCGAGTGTAGTGGCCGTGGCCATGAACCAGGAGCTTCAGGGGCATATACTGACTTCCTGGCAGGCGATTCAGCTCTACAGCGCTGGTATCAATTGAGACTTGGCCAATCAGAGTCTGCAGTCCTGCGTGTTCTCGACTCACTGGGTTCCGGACCAAACAGAGTCTGGTTGGACATGGATGTTTCTGTAGGCAGCATGGCTCGGAGATGGCAGCGGATGGAGTGTCAGAAAGGACAAGCCGAGGAACGTGGCATGTTCCACCCTTGCCAACCATGTCTTAGTCAGAGCCAGCTCTTGCCCAGCAAGCACGGGTAAATCAAATCTATTCGCACATCCTGTAATTAGCACGATCCTGCGCTACCTTTGACTGCACTCCATGCTGGTCATGCTGAGCAAGTTGTGAAAAGAACAAGACGTTGCGCATGTTGACTGATTGAAATGAATTTTGCATGAGAACATCTTGGCCAATTCAAACCCACTTTCTGGCTTTCAGATTGAAGTTGAAGATGCCACAAGCCTCGAGGTGATCCTGACTGCGTGGATACGCGGACCGTCGCAACTCTTTACTACAACAGGCGGCAGGGCCAGACATTTGCCTTTTGGACGGTGCTGTGGTTGACAAAGTGTTTGGTGTTTGTTCAATTTCTTCAAATTCGTAGGACTATGACATAAACTGAAAGTCCATCGCATGGCTTTACATCCAGAGTGTCTGAGACTTGTATGTTGAGCATGGGGCCGCCAAGCTCAGTTTGCAGCACCTTGCCTGTTTGCATTATTCATATCATTTATCCTGTGCACTTGTTCGTATGTGATTGCACTTGACTGCTTCTACACACTGGTCTCCCTCTATGTGTTTCCTTTCCTCTGTCTCCCTCTCGTTTTTTCAACCAACCAGGTGATTGGCCGTGTTGTCAACCTCATTGACCTCGGTTTGCAGTACTGAAGCGCTGAATTACCGAACACTTTCCAAAAGGAAGAAGTGCTTCGCCACCAGGTCGGGTCAGTCATTTCCTTTGCCAGGTCGGCCGCGTTGAGGAAAAAGGGTGAGTTCGAGCAAGCCCTCGACGACGCGCAAGCCTGGCACGGCATTTGCACAGACACCTTGGCGATACCAGATGTGATGATTAAATATCTATTGCGTATTTGCTCCTTGCAACCCCTGACGGCGTGTGGTTGCCAATGTGGATGTGTCAATGCTTTTCGTTGAGCATTTGTGAAGCAATGTCCGAATTTGGACCACACAGCAGGTGGTAAAACGCCAGAGTGCTAGCCCACACAGAATGAGGAAGAGAAGGTCCACATTTTTGAGCGCTGTCATTTAATGCAGCGTGGTGCTAGACTGGCTTCAGGTAGCCAACGTCATGTTGCGGATTATTTCAGGGCGCAAGGCACGATTTAGCGAGGTGATGAGGGCATGAAGTTGAGAAACTTGGAACGAACATGTGAAGACATGGATGAGCTTGCATGAACACCGCCATGGACTTGGAACACACAAGGGCATGTGGATCTTCGAGACAGGCCATTGCAGAAGAAGGCAACAACACCAGTGCCCAGAGTAGATGGTATGATAAAAGCAGCCAAATGGTGTCATGATTTTTGATTCGTGCTGGCTTTGCTGTTTCTCTTCCTTGCTGTGGCTTGGGGGTTCCCGCAGAGCCCAGTTGAG